GGGGGGGGGCCAGAAAAGGGGGCGCCCTGAACAGCTGGTTTTAGAAGCCAGGAGGGCTGGTGGGATTGTTGCTGCTTCCTTTCCTCGGGTACATGCGCCCTCCGTTTGAGCATGTTCGGAGCATGGATGGCCCGGAACTGGCACTCGTGAATTCCTCCCCGCCTCTTTCCTGGCCTCCAGCTCCTGACCCGCTTGCCCCTCCCCTTCTTCTCCCAATGCTACGTGCACCCCTCCTCCTCTCCCTGCTCCTGCATTGTCCCTCTTCCCTCCTTGTTTCCTCCTCCTCCTCCTCTTCCTCCCGTGTCCTCTTCCTCCTCCTCCTCCTCCTCCTCCTCCTCCTCTTGGATTTCCTTGTTTTGGCTGTACAAGCTATAGGAACCGACGGATCTCTTCGATTCCATCACTACACATCTCTCCCTATCCAGTCCCTGCATCTATCATTCTCGCCACCCGTCACTCCGACTCCAGCTCCTATTCTGGCTCGTTCTTCCGATTGTTGCGGCCGTCTCTCCGACTCTTGCGGTCGTCTCTCTCTCTCTCTCTCCGACTTCGGCTCCTGCCCGCGCGACCCTGGCTCCGATTCCTGCGCCTATTTTGCGACTTCTGCTATCGTCTCTCCGACTCTGGATCTTGCCCCTACGACCCCAGCTTATGTCTCTCGTCCCAACGACTCCAGCTCCTACCCACGACCCCGCTCCTATTTATCAGACTCTTGCTTTCCGACTTCAGTGACCTATCTTCCGATTCCTGCGTCCGTCTTTCCGACTCATACGATCATGTCTCCGACTCCGGTTCTTGCCCGCGCTTGTTTTTCCGATTCCAGCGATCGTCCCTCCGATTCCAGGTGCAGATATTACAGTCACATCGGCGCTAACACGTGGAGCCATTATGGACGATTTTTTTTATACGGACGACTACAACGGTGAGCAAAGTCATTTCCACAGTTTCCGATTTCGACACCCACGATTCGGACCCCGACTCCTGCTCACAGCGCGTCCACTGAGGGCCCCGGCCCGCCCCGCGCTACCCTCGCAGGGCTGGCCCCGCAGGACCGACGTCGCGCGCTCGCCTCGCTTCGCCTCTTACGGGTCTCGGTGATCTGTGAACCAGTGGCATGCCCGATCGCCTCGTGCGCAGGACCTTGGGCCACCTGCATGGGCGCGAAGACAGCTTCCAGGGGGCGGGTCGAGCGGGCGAAGAAATAAGCACAATCTCACCTCGCGCGGCGCGAGGCGTGCAGTGCGGATGACAGCGGTTGCCTCGGGCGGAGCAGCTGGCGAGAGAGGTGCCTCTGAGATGCCGCCTGCTGGCAGCCCTCGCAGCCCTTGGGCGTCGGTCGTCTCGCGGGACGCTCAGCGTCGGCTGCTGGAGCGACGGGGGGCGCGCGCGCGCACAGCGGCGATCGCCTCCCAGGCTGCTCATGGTTGCCTGCCCGTGGCCCGTAGAGGAGGCGGCGTGGCAGCAGCTCGGGGACGTGCTCGGCGCTACGGTACATGGCCAGCTCGGCCCTTCGTTGAAGGCGCGCATATCCTCTACAGGAAGAAGATTCAAAAATGGTCTAAATTTAGTATGGGGGGATAATTCTTCTATTCACTTTTGACTATTTTTGAATAGTCTTAATTATTCCCTACCTAGGCTCTGCCTAGAAGGGTTCTTACCGTGTTGGCTTAAAGGGCCGGGCAGTGTTCCACGCCCCGGGCGGTTCCCCCAGGATCCGCCCCGCGGTTCCCCCAGTGACGTTCCCTTAGCTTAGCGTTGCTTATCTCATCTTAGCTTTGCCTAGCTCAGCTTAGCTTAGCTTAGCCTAGCCTAGCTTAGCTTAGCTTAGCTTAACCTATCCTAGCTTAGCTTAGCTCAGCCCAGCATTTGCATAGCATAGCATAGCATGGCATAGCATAGCATAGCGCAGCATAGCATAGCGTAGCATAGCGCAGCATAGCATAGCGCAACATAGCATAGCATACCGTAGCATAGCATAGCTTAGCTTAGCATAGCAAAGCGCATAATAGCATAGCATAGCATAGTCTAACATAGCACAACAGCATAGCGCAGCATAGCATAGCATAGCATAGTCCAGCATAGCATAGCATAGCATAGCATAGCCTAGCACAGCCTAGATGTAGATGTAGATGTATGTGTAGATGTAGATGTGGATGCAGGTGTAGATGTAGATGTAGATGTATATGTAGATGTAGGTGTAGATGTAGGTGTAGATGTAGATGTAGATGTAGATTTGAGTCTCGCTGTTGATGTTGATGTAGATGTAGATGCAGGTGTAGATGTTAATGTAGCTGTCGGTGCAGATGTTGATGTTGCTTTCCTAGATGCTCCAAATCCTAGGTGGGGTCGCACTGGAAAATCTTATTTCTCCTCCAGAACCCGCCTGTAGGAGGACATGCCCGGCCTAGCCCTTCGCTGCCCAGCAGGGGCAGTGGCTTGCTTCTGCAGCTGCGCCGGCAAGACCCGTAGGCGTGTTCTCGCCCTGAGCCTGGAAGGGGCTGTGCCCCGCTGGGCCGTCACACCGTGCTCGGGCAGCACCCCGACGATCTCCCGAAAGGTATCCAGGGCTTCGCTCTCTTCCGCAGGAGCGGCCCCGCGGCAAACGGCACGCGAGGGGTGGAAGTGGAGCGGGCGCTCGTTGGGAGCGAGCCTGGAGCCGCCTCTCCGACGTCGGGCGGGGCGGGCCGCCTCAGCCACGGGTCACGCGGGGCGCCAGGAGGTCCGGGTCCCCGTGCAGCTGCCGGCGGCAGGGCCCGCCACCGCGCGAGCCCAGCATTCTGGGGGGGCGACTGCCCGAGGGGCACGGGAGGCCGTCACGTGCGCCTCGTGTCCCCAGGCGAGGGACAGCCGTGTGGAGGAGGAGGAGGAGGAGGAGGAGGGGGAGGAGGAGGAGGAGGAGGAGGAGGAGGAGGAGGAGGAGGATATGTTTGATGATCGCGATGGTGATGATGATGCTGCTGCTGCTGAGGAGGAGGAGGAGGAGGAGGAGGAGAAGGAGGAGGAGGGAGAGGAAGAGGAAGAGGAAGCCCCTCGCATCTGTCACCTTTCCTTTTCACTTCTTGAGGAACTCTCACGGGGCTCATTTGGAGCCTCTTGGGGCTGTCTTGGGATCCTGCGGGGTAGGGTAGTCTTGGGGATCCCTTAGGGCCGTCTTGAGGCCCTCTGAGGCCGTCCTGTGGCCCCCTCAGGCCGTCTTGGGGCTCTCTTGAGCCGTCTTGGGGCCCTCTTGGCGGTGTGGGTAGTCTTGGGGCCGTCTTGGAGCCGTCTTTGGCCGTCGAAGGGCCTTCTGCGGCTGCCGTCTTGGGTCTCTCCAGCGGCCGTCTTGGAGGGATCTTGGGCCATCGTGGGGTCTTCTCGAGCCGTCTTGAGACTCTCGTGGAGGCCTCTTGGGCCGTCTCGAGCCGACGGAAGCCCTCGACGCCCAAGCTAGGGGTTGGCTATCAAGCCGTTGAGCGGCGCGTGGGCCCTCCTCCACCCTCCGCCGTCCGCCGTGCCCTCTCCATCTTCCGTCCCGGCCCCCTCCTTGCCTTTTTCCTCGTCCTCTTCCTCTCGCCGCTCCTCAGGAGGAAAAGACACACAGACACAAAGAAATCGTCGATTCCCAGGCAAGCATGGGGAAAAATGGGAAGTGGGGGGGAGACGAAGATCAAGAAAACATGGGACAATTATCCCGGCAAAGCAACCTAACAGCGATGTGTAGAAGCATAGCTGGAAACATTGCCTGTGGTATTCATGTAAGAGTGCTGTTGTAGAATTCTGGTGTTCTCGCAGTCGCATTCGGATTCGCAGTGGCAGTCGCAGTGGCAACATCAGCGGCAGTCGCAGTGGCACTGCCAGTAGTTGCAGTAGCAATAGCTACACTAGCAGCAGCAACAGCAGCAGCAGCAGTAATAGTAACAGTAGTAGTAACAGCAGCAGCGGCCGAACTGCTTCACGTGCTCGACGAGCGTTTGCAGAGGACCGCTCAATGCAGCACGCTGAGGAGCAGCGCTGTTCCCTGCCGCAGGCTGAGGAGCACCGCTGTTCAATGCAGCAGGGTCAGGAGCACCGCCGCCAGACCGAGAACTATCAGCATGTCCTGGCATTAAGGTGTGCAGTAGGCGCTGCGCAGTTCCTTTGAAAGGAAATCTTCGAAAGCAGGGCTGTAGCCAAGAAGGCTACGGGGACGATGATGATGATGAAGATGATAAGTCTTGGAAGTCTAAAAAGTGGAAGAGCACGAAGTGGCGTACGGGCGTTCAAAATGTGGCCCGGGAGTGGAGTTCTGGGAAGTGGAAGAGCACGAAGTGGCCTACAGTTGGCTCCGGGCATTCAAAATGTGGCCCGGGAGTGGTGTTCGGGGAAGTCCAAGAGCACGAAGTTGCCTACAGTTGGCTCCGGGCATCCAAAATGTGGCCCGGGAGTAGAGTTCTGGGAAGTCGAAGAACACGAAGTGGCCTACAGTTGGCTCCGGGTATCCAAAATGTGGCCCGGGAATGGAGTTCTGGGAAGTCGAAGAGCACGAAGTGGCCTACAGTTGGCTCTGGGTATTCAAAATGTGGCCCGGGAATGGAGTTCTGGGAGGTCGAAGAGCACGAAGTGTGTGCCTGATAGTTTAAAACGAGCCCGGCCCTCGCCTGTCCGGCTCCCGCCCAGACCCCCCTGGGGAGTCATCAGATGCTTTCTTTTGACCCCATTAGAAACCTATCAATCTTCGCTGTTAGGTACATAATAAGAGGAATCCTGGGATTTGTGTGTATTTACTCGTGCCTCCCCGGGCCCCTTCAGTTCCTCGTGCTCCTCCCCCTCCTCTCCCTCCTTGCCCCGGCCCCCCAGGGGCCGAGCCCGGGGCGCCCCCCGGGGGCCTTTTGCCCTCCCCGTCTGAAGGTGCACCGCCGCCGCGGCCGCGGCCCTCGCGCGCACGTGGCCCATTCGGCCCAGCGCAGCGCCCGCCACTGCGCCCCGCAGGCCGCGCGCGAGCGGCCGAGCCGGGCCCGCACATGCCGTGCCGCCGCGGGCGCCGCCGCGAGCCGCGGGAGGCGGGGGGCCGCGCGCCCCGCCGACGCTGCGGCGGCGGCCCCCCGGCCGGGGAGGCGATGAGCGCGGCATGGCCTGGCGCGGCCGCAGCTGCGGATCTCGAAGCAGAGAAAACCGTCATGAGCTCAAGTCGGGCATGTCCCCCTGCAGGAGGAATATGCAGACAGAGTCAGACATTAGCCAGGGGACGATTCTTCAGTTCTCATTACTAATTCTGAATGTTTTTGGGGTATGTTTTATTTTTCCATCCAAAATCCGCCTGTAGGAAGACACGCCCGATTTGATCTAAACATAAGCTTTTGGTGCTCCGCGCGGGTTTCTCGGATCCGTGCCTGGGCCCAGGCCCGGCGGCGCCTCCAGCGCCGCCCTGGGCGCGCTCCGCGCGCCAGGGAAGGAGGTCCAGCGCAGATCCAAGAAATTTGCGCGGAACGCCAAAAGTTAATGTTTATGGTGTTTTTTCTTCCAGGATCGCTTCCCGCCCTGGCGCCGCAGGAGCTTGCCGGCGCGGCGTGGTCGCTGGCCAAGCGGCCGTGTCGCGACCGGCCGCTGCTGCAGGGCTTGGCGCTGGCGGCGATGGCAAGCAGCTGGCGCTTGCCGCCGCCAGAGCTTGCCGCCATCGCGTGGGCGTTCGCTACGCTGCGCGTGCGCCACGGCCCACTTCTGACCGCCATCCCGGAGGAGTCCGTCTATCTCAAGGCGCAGTTCAAGCCGAGGCACCTGTCCAACCTGACCTGGGCTTTTGCCGCACTCCGGTGGCCTGACGAGCCACTCTTGCAAGGTCTGGCAGCTGCATCGCTAACGGTACTCCCGAATATGCGGTC